ACACACACACACACACACATAACTCGTGTCGCAAGTTCTAGTAATAATAAGAGTGCCTAGACTAACAGCTGTTTGGGAAGATTGTAAAATTCATTCCCCCCCGCAGGTATTTGGCACGCGGAGCAGCTTATCGGAGCACCCTCCCCCCCCCCCCCCCCTCCCCTCTAAAAAAGGGTGGGGGTGTGTGTGCAGGCCTACTACAGTTGAAATTGGAAGGAGTGATTTTTACAGTCATGCGGATCGGATCTTTTCGGAAGACCGGCATCTCAACAGAGAAATTGAGACGAGAGTACAAAAGGCTAACAGCGTCAGCTACCAGCTTGCCCCACTCCTCAAACATCCTAATATCCCCATTGAGACCAAAGCCAAGATCTCCATCCCCACCTTGACCTACCAGTGCCGGGCATGGACCCTGACCTAGGCCTTCTCAGGGGAGAAGGCCTAGACCCTGACCAAAGGTCTGGAACGTAAGATAACCACCTGCGAGGTGAGATGTCTAAGGAGAGCTGTCAACAAAACCAGACGGGACATGGTAAGAAACAAAAAGATAAGAGAAATGATTGGAACAACACCTGTCCTCCACTGCATTCGAAGGCAAACAATCAGGTGGTTTGGACATCTCACACGTATGGCGCCTCCCCAGTTTACCATTAAAGCCTGCTACAGAAAAGTATTATCAGGGTAAAAGGCAAAAGGGAGACCAAGAATAACCTGGATCCTGGGTGTGAAGGATACCCTGAGAACATACAATCACCGTAGGCTGTACTATCTTTGATACAATATCCCACCCAGCCAGGCCATCAAACTAGCTAGAGACGGGGAGCTCTTTCTTCCCTTGACGCCCTAGAGGCACAAGAGGACGGATAAAGTAATAGACGGGTGCCCACTACGGCTGGATCAGGCCAATCGCCCGACTCGATCGCATGAAACTGAAAACAAACACGTTTGTTTTTTAGGCGATCGAGTCGGGCGATAGGCCCGATCGGCCGATCCCATCCGTAGTGGGCACCCCGTTTATACGGATGGGATCGGCGCGTTTGTTTTTGAGTAGCGAATCGATCGGCCGATCCCATCCGTAGTGGGCACCCCGTTTATACGGATGGGATCGGCGCGTTTGTTTTTGAGTAGCGAATCGGACGGCCGCCATATGGTCAGGGGATTACTCAGGGGAGTTCATATACGGTGGCGTACTCACAATTTTTAAAAGCATGTTCTAAAAAATGGTCAGGGGATTACTCAGGGGAGTTCATATACGGTGGCGTACTCACAATGGTGTCACGATTTTTTGTTTGGTTTGGGATAATATTATTGGTATCGTGTTTTTAATTTTTTTTCTTTACTGTGTTGAAGAATTGAACAGTCTTAAAATGAAAACTACCTACGTAAAGAAAGCCCCATTCTTTCAAACATTTCTGTATA